TGAGGTGTTCGGACCCATGTTTGTACATGTTCTCGGGCAAATCACACCTTCTGGAGATGAGTTTCCCTCGGAGGGAGGTGGTTGGGTGTTAATTAACACCTCTGCAGACGGTGCGTGTTCTTGTTTATGCTGTGAAAATCCCCCTTCGCTCATCCCGGATCTCCTCAAGTCTTCTGCATTTCAAGCGAGCCGGAGCTGCGGCTCACCCCGAGGGGTTTCCTGACCCCCAAAATCATTGTCCTTCGCTGCCACCCCTGCTCGCCGTCCCTTGGCCGTGGGGGTCCCGGGGGAGCTGCTGGAGAGGGAGCCTGGGGGGTGCCGGTTTGCAGCGCGGTGCTTCGCGCTGGGCTTTTACCCGCCTTCCCCATGGTAAGAAGCCCCTTTACCCCTCCCAGCGCACACCCCGAGGGGTTACGCATCCACTCCACGGGTTACGCACGCTCTCGACAAGTTACACCCGCACACCACCAGGTTATTCATGCGCCCCATACCCCCGTGGGTTATGCACGCTCCTGACGGGTTATGCACGCTCCCGATGAGTGATGCACGCACCCCATGGGTTATGCGTGCACCCCAACGGGTTATGCAGCCACCCCAAGGGGTTATACATGGTCCTGATGAGTTATGCACGCACCCCGTGGGTTATGCATGCACCCCGTTGGGTTATACGCACCCCCGACAGGTTATACACACGCTTTGACCAGTTCTGCATGCACCCCGACGGGTCACGCATGCTCCCACTGAGTCATGCACACACCGCATGGGTTATGGGTGCACCTCGATGGGTCATGCACTCTCCCGACAGGTTATGCGTGCACCCTGTTGGGTTACACATGCACCCCGATGGGTTACACATGCACCCCGATGGGTTATGCACACTCCTGACGAGTGATGCACGCATCCCATGCGTTATACATGCTCCTGATGGGTTCTGCATGTACCCCAATGGGTTATGCAGCCACCCCGGCGGGTTACACAAGCTCCCGACAGGTTATGCGCACACTTCCATGGGTTATACATGCACCCCAATGGGTTATGCATGCTCCCCATGAGTCATGCATGCACCAAATGGGTTATGCATGCACCTCGATGGGTTATGCATGCTCCCCATGAGTCATGCATGCACCAAATGGGTTATGCATGCACCCCGATGGGTTATGCATGCTCCCCATGAGTCATGCATGCACCAAATGGGTTATGCATGCACCTCAATGGGTTATGCATGCTCCCCATGAGTCATGCATGCACCCCATGGGTTATGGATGCACCCCATGCATTATGGATGCACCCCAATGGGTTATGGGTGCACCCCAATGGGTTATGCATGCTCCCTATGAGTCATGCATGCACCCCATGGGTTATGGATGCACCCCATGCATTATGGATGCGCCCCAATGGGTTATGGGTGCACCCCAATGGGGTATGCATGCTCCCTATGAGTCATGCATGCACCCCATGGGTTATGGATGCACCCCATGCATTATGGATGCGCCCCAATGGGTTATGGGTGCACCCCAATGGGGTATGCATGCTCCCTATGAGTCATGCATGCACCCCATGGGTTATGGATGCACCCCATGCATTATGGATGCGCCCCAATGGGTTATGGGTGCACCCCAATGGGTTATGCATGCTCCCCATGAATTATGCATGCACCCCGATGGGTTATGCACACTCCTGACAGGTTATGCACGCACCTCAATTGGTTATGCACACACTCCATGGGTTATGCAGGCACCTCGATGGGTTATGCACACTCCAGATGAGTGATGCACACATCCCATGGATTGTATATGCTCCTGATGGGTTATACATGCACCCCAATGGGTTATGCTGCCACCCCATTGGGTTATACGTACCCCAACAGGTTATACACACGCTTTGACCAGTTCTGCATGCACCCCGATGGGTCACGCATGCTCCTGCTGAGTCATGCATGCACCCCATGGGTTATGGATGCACCTCGATGGGTTATGCACACTCCCGATGAGTTACACACGCACCCTGTTGGGTTACACACGCACCCCAATGGGTTATGCACGCATCCCATGGGTTATGGACGCACTCTGACTGGTTATGGATGCTCCCGACAGGTTATGCATGCACCCTGATGGGTTATGTGCGCTCCTGATGGGTTATGCACCCACCCCGAGAGGTCAGGCACCCACCCCATGGGTCATGCATGCTCCCCAGCGGGTGGGCTCCTACCCTATGGTTTCGCCTGTTCCCGGCAGGTTATGCACGCTCCCGACAGGTTATGCACACACCTCGATGGGTTATGCACGCTCCCAACGAGTCATGCATGCCCCCTGTGGGTTACGCACCCACACCACAGGGTACGCAGCCACCCAGGTGGGTTATCATAGAATGGTTTATGTTGGAAAGGACCTTGAAGATCACTGAGTTCCAGCTCCCCTGCCATGGGCAGGGACACCTCCCACCAGCCCAGGTTGCCCACGGCCACCTCCAGCCTGGCCTTGA